TGGATACCCGTCATCTATCAAAACACGTTATTCAGCATCTATCAAACTGTTAAATGTTGTTCGCTTATTGTTGACCAAAGCATGTGTACAACACTCATAAATATCTAAAATCCACCTTGCTGCTTTCTAAAAAAGTATTTAGTACAAAAATATTTTGAACTATAAATTTTTAATACTAAAAAGCTATTTTAGAAAACATTAAGAAAGTTATCCCAAACAAAGCCTAAATCAATGACTAATAGAGATTAACAATAGCTAATATTCTGGAAAAGCTATAATTCAATAAACAAATAACCAAATAAAAAGAATTTAGTGTTAAGAATTTTTGTTTGGGGTGGTTTAAGCTTTTCCATTTTGGCTTTTAAAAGCTCATTTCAAAAACCTATGGAACAATTTTTCGACTATTTTTGTGTTAAGAAAAATAATTAGTAAAAAATAATGTGTTTGGAAGGAACTTTTATTACATCCAGTGAACGTACGCTACTCTACCTTCGGTTTTAGATCAAAACAGCGCAATACCGAGTTTTTTTAAAAAACTCGGTACAACTCGGTACTCGGTATTGCGCTTTTTTTGCCTAGATCCGAACGTAGAGGAGCGTACGTTCACTGGATTTTTCACTATTTTTTCAAATTTTTGCTTTTGAAAATTATGTTTGGAAAAATATTTTTGAAACTGCGTCGGAGAAATGAGCTTTAAAAGTCAAAAGCAAAAAAGTTTAAGCTGCTCCAAATATAACCTTAGTCACAATTTTAGAAATAGGCTTTCTAAAAAATAGCTTTATGAAGACAAAATTTTTAAATAACGATGAAAAAAACTATCTTCTAAACCCACATAATTTTTTTATAACTATTTTTTGTGCCACAAAAACAATAAAAAAGATGTTCCAAACCAAGTCTTAGGCTTCGTTTGCGACGGCTTTCTTACCGTTTTTAAAGTAGTTTTTTAAAATAGAAATTAAACTTTTTTTGCTATAAAGTTGCTTTAAGACTCCCAAACGAAGACTTAGGCTTCGTTTGGGACGACTTTCTTACTACTTCGTAAAGCGGCTTTTTAGTACAAAAAGTTTATTTTTTGTACAACAAAGTCGTTTTAAGAAACAGAAAGAAAGCTGTCCCAAACGAGGCCTTAGTCTCCACAAATACAATTCAACATTTTGTTAATCTAATAATTTATCACAACAATAAGAATGATGTAGCACTCAATATGCCTTTGCAAAATATTTAGCATATCTATGGGATTTTATTTTATTAGTTAAAATTGGCATACATATTCTTGCCTTATATGTCTCTTAAGTCTAGAAATAATATGTATAATTTTAAAATAGAGAGTACTATTGCTTAATTATACCTTATGCAATGCCAAAAAAAAAAAGGTTCAAATGTTTTTTTATAGAGGAAGTTTTTTTTACTATCAAAGAAGCTAAATAAATTTTCCTATTCTTCCAAAGTTTTTTTTTACTATAAATTATTTCTTATTTTATATTTAATATTTTACCTTCTTAAATAATAATAAAAAAAAATAAAATTGTTTATGTTGATCTCAAGCCTAGATGCAAGAAGTTGAGGGAAAAAAAATTTAGGCCCCCCCTAAATATATTTTATGGCTCCGCCACTGCCCACACCCACCCATACCCAATGGGCATTGGTGGGTATCGGTACACCTATGGTCACGTGAGTGAGTATTGGTGGGTACTTAGCATTAGGGGACAAACCGATTTACATTATTATCACCATATACATGCAATATATTACAATAGTCCTTACTACGTAGTGTGCAGCACTGAACCACGCCGTGATCACGATAAAATTTAGGAAAATTTACATACATACCACTTTATAATATCCTATTTACTTATCTAACACCTAAAACTTTAATATTACATAGTATAATATCAAATATGTCACTCATATTTCCTTCCTACCACTCATATATTTCATTTCTACCACTCATATTTGATATAAAAATCAACTATGAGTGGTATGTATGTAATATTAAAGTTTTAGGTGTTAAATATGTAAATAGAATAGTATATAGTGGTATGTATGTAAATCTCCCTAAATTTTCATATGTGGCTTGAAAGTTTACAGTCATAGCAAAGGGCAACAAACCTCAAGGCCATTAATCTGTGGCAGACTGTATTCAAGAAGCATGGAAAGTGGGTGGGTGTGGGTGGGTATGACATCCCGAAAGTCACCATATGTGGGCTTGGATGGGCAAAGCCCGCCAGCGTAGTGCATGAGTACCCAACCAGGACCCCATGTAAGTCTCTTCAGTGCAGTTCTTTATAAATGATGCTCAATCATTATTAATTAAACTAATATCAAATTATTAAAGTTTAATTTACTTTAATTTATTATTATTAAATTAAACATGTACATGAAGCTAGTTTGAGTGTAGCATATTCTCATCTATTTTTTTATGATCAATAGATACCAAACGAAAAATATTAGTTCTTTGTGAATTTTGATTGTGGTGATTAATCGGATTGTGATGTTGACTTAGATCTCAATTTTGTCGAAATTCTTGTTTGTACAATGCTGTAGCGCTTGCAGATAGGAGCTTACTGTCAAGGTTTTGTGAATACAATGTTGGGACCCACTATGGGACAAAGAACCTAATGCCAAAGTGCTGCGCAATAAGCACTATGGCGTTGCTGGATGGTTCTGTCAGTTTCTTTCTTGTAGTTTTTACGTAATCATAACCTAAAAAAGTTGGTCTATGTACATGAACTGATGAAAGTGTGTGAAGACTGTGAGAGAAGAAGAGAGTAAGATTTGCACAATTTCTCCCATTTTTAATAAGGGATTTTTTGGCTTAATGTGGCTCTATGATTTTTTTTCCCATTAATTTTCGAGTTTGTCCACATTAAATTCTAGTGCTATTTCTCTGTTGTTTGCTTTCTTGTTTGTTTCGCTCTTTGTTTTCACCCAACAAAAATTGCATAGAAAAATATTTGGTAAGTCCATTGTGAAATCAAAGAACTATAAAAATTTTGCACTTACATGAAATTAATAGATTAAATAGGATGTTCAAATTGTAACTAAGAATGGCCCAAACAACACTAATCATCAATTAAAAATTTCAAATGCATAAAAAATGATCCCCTTTAGGGGATATGTTTCATCTTAACATACATGCACATGCATTATACGTCATTTAACTATTAGAAGCTTTGATTATCTCATATATATATATACCATGTCATATTCATATTCTTCCTCATCAAGTCTTCAATTTCATATTGATCATCTCATTTCTTACATATGCAATGAAACCCATGAAATGACCAAACCGTAAAAAAATATTTGCTCTCCATATGAAAGCAATGAAAGACTAACAACAGTACTCGATGATGACCTCTCAAAGCCAATGCATGCATCAAGAGATGTACCTGACTAAAATACTAAATTTTAATGTTGAAAGGGTTGTTGACTAGCTTATTGGGAAATTTAAACCTAAACGATCAAATGCACTGATATGGTGTTTTAATTAGGGGGTATAAATGAGTTGAGCCGAGCTCAAATCACTGTTTTTGAGCTTGAGCTTGATTAATTAATCTAAGTTCGACCTGGAACATGAGCTTTGTTCTATAAGTTTGAGCTAGCTCATAAGTAGGCTCATTTATGTTGAAAGAGAGAAAATACTTATGATTTAAATAATTATTATAATAAAATGATTAAAAATTTGAGAAATGATAAGAAAAATCATGAAAAATCACTTTTAATATAAGAAAATGATATAACAGCTTTGTACTTTAAATTTTGAATAATAATATGTTAAGTATATTCTATATTCATATTTTTTAAATGAACAAGCTCGCGAGCTAACGAGTCGTCAAGTTAAAGTTGGTTGAAGCTTGGCTCGTTCGACTAAAGAGCCATTATGAAGTTGAGCTCAAACCGGCTCACAATTCAGCTTGACTCATTGACACCCTTAGAGTTTCTCCAGCCGTTTGGCAAACCAACGAATGGAGGCCCTTAAACGTCCCAACGAAACGCCATTTTTCCGACAATTGTTTGCAGAACAAATATTAGCATCGCACTGTTCATCCGTCATATATTTTTTTTACTATATAATTGATTTGTAATTTAAAATATTTAAGTATAAATTTATATTATAAATAATTAAGAAATAATAATTTAGAAATACATTATTCTTCAAAAATTAAAATATTTTTATGTAATTATTTTTTAAAAGATAAACATTAACATAAAAATTTATGATAAACTTCTCATACATATTTAAAAGATTTCGAGTACTACAATACTTAAAAAAATACATAAATCAAAATACAAAACAAGTTCAAATAATAAAAAATAATAATTTTTAATATTAAATATATATTTCTTATTTTGGACATATTAATTTCCCAAAATTTTTTATCAAAAAAAAAAATTAAATTTAAAATAGGTTTAAAATTGATAAATATAAATATATGATTGAAAAAATATAAAACAAAATATTAAAAAGAATATATTAGGAATATTTATTTTTTTATGTTAGAAAATAAAATTCTGTTGGAGGCACTGCATTTTAGAGTGAAAAATGAATTTTTCGGTTTGAGATGCCCTTAGTTTTAACTATTAAGAATCATCATAACCAAATAGTTCCAACAGTGTTGAAGAAACTATGCAGGAAGGGAAGATTTTGATCTTCCATGAGAGGTCGGAAAGCTTTGGATGATGATTTCTTATAAAAGAAAGGAGATCAGCTTTGTTGCCAATGGAGATTCACGAATAGATGAACTTGTTAAACTATTCAGCTTGCAATTCCGCTGAATCCAAAGAGAAATCCTTAGAAAATTTGGCATAATGTCTCTGCAGCGAAGCGTAAAAAGACATAAAGCTTATTCCGACGACCGAGACCCCGTCAAATGGTTCTTTTCACCACGTGAAAGCGAGTCGTCAATCTTTTTGACTGACTAATCCTCCACCACGATCAAAGCAATATTATTTAATACTAATTAAACCCTTTAAATATAACCTTAATCCTTCTTTCCCCTTGCAACAACTCCACAATATTCCACCTTCTCCTTCCTCTCTCCTAATCATGTCTTCCCTTCACAAGCTTGTTGACGCCATCGCCGGCAAGCACGAGAACTCGAAGAAGAAGAAGAAGGCTAACACGTCTATGGAGATCCTAGGCACCGTTGTTCTCATGAAGAAGAACGTGCTTGACTTCAATGACTTCAACGCTTCCCTTCTCGACAATCTCAGCGAGTTCGTCGGCGAACGCGTTTCCTTCCAGCTCGTCAGCGCCACCTCCGGCGATCACAGTAAGCGCGCGCGTCCTCTCTCTATATTAATGAGAATGATACGAAAATAAATATAAATTTGTTATACATCCATTGAATAAAAATTTAATTTGCAGACAGAGGGAACAGAGGGAAGGTAGGCGAGGAAGCATACTTAGAGGACTGGGGGAAGGCGGCGCGGGCGCCGGTTTTGGCGGCGGGCGAGTCGCTTCTCTCGGTGAGGTTTATGTGGGAGGAAAGCTTTGGAGAACCGGGGGCGGTGATTGTGAAGAACCGGCACCGGTCCGAGTTTTTTCTCAAGAGCTTGAGCTTGGAAGGCGGGGGTCTGAAGAACCGGGTTCAGTTCGATTGCAATTCGTGGGTTTACCCGGTCGAACGGTACAACTACGACCGGGTCTTTTTTGCCAATGAAGTGAGATTCTTGCTCTTTATCTCTTTTTTTTTAATGAAACAGATAAATTAATTAATATTTGTAAGAAATAGAAAGAGAGAGGACGAATTAATTGAATATTTATTATGAAAAATATTAAGTAGAGGGGATATATTAAAATACATGTACTAAATAAAAAAATATTAAAATTTTAGATGGAGCAGGTGACCATATATGCTTCGCCTAATTTTTGCCATTTTGATTTTAAGATCAAAATTTCATAAAGTTTAAAAGTTATATATTTAAGGTATAAAATATTTTGTTAGAAAAAAAAAATTTTCTTTTTAGTTAATCTTATATTAAGAAAAAAAAGGATAATTTGCATTAAACATAAAAATCAAAATGATAATCTGATTCTTTAGTTTACAAATGATCAAAATAATCCATAATTACTTATAATCCATAACTAAGTCTCATTTAAGGTTTCTTTTGAGATTGCTTTCTTAATATTTTACAAAGTTTTTTTTTAGTACAAAAATGTCATAAAAGCTTGAAAAAAATAGTGATCTAAATCATTTCCAAATAAAGCATAGAAAATTAGTGATCTAAAGCCGTCTCAAATGAATAGCTTTTTCACTACTTTTTCAAACAGTTTTTTATTATAAATATTTTTTTTTAAGTTAAAAATTTTGTACTAAAAAACTGTTTCAAAAAGTAGTAAAAAATTCGTGGGATGGCTTTTTTATTACTTCTTAAATTTTAAAAACTAATAAAAAAGCCATTGCTTTCTTACTGCTTTCTAAAGTGGCTTTCTACTAGAAAGCTGCTTTAAATAGTGAAGAGACTAATGCTTAGTTTTGGACGACTTTTTTATTGATTCTTAAAACAGTTTTGTAATACAAAAAATTTAATTTTTATACTAAAAAATAATTTTTAAAAGTAGTAAGAAAGCTATCCCAAAAAAAGCCTAAAATTATTTTTTTATATTGTTATGGACTATTTTGATTCTTCGAAAAAAGTTATGGGATCAATTCGATCATTTTTCATTTGCATGCTTATCATAAAATTTTTATGTATTAATTATATATCTGATATTGAATTTATGTATTTATTAAAATATATATTAGTGAATTTTCTTATACCTTATATATGAGTACTAAAAAAAGGTATGATTTAAGATGACTATTGAATCATATTTTCCTAAAAATAAGATCAAAATATTATAAGGAGCTTAAATATTGCTAATGATATTATTTTCACTCACTACTCTTAAACTAAATTTTTACTAATATTTTCAAATGAAAATATGGTTATAGCTCACATTATAAATAAATGTTCTTAATATTGTCCAAATTTAATTTATTAGTAAAGAATATTTGTAAGGTTTTTTTTTCTTTTTATTTTACATGAAAATATAATTCAACTTGAAAATAATATTATTTTGGACCATTTTATAAATATTTTCCTTAGAAATCTGTCCCAATTGTGAGCTTATTAATTTCATTGTTACTTCCTAGAAATTCATTTGAGCAGTTTTCTTTGATTTGATTGCTAGGTCAAGGGGAAGTTTCTTTTGAACTCTTCTTATTTTCGAGAAATTATCATGTGTATTGAAGTTCAGACGTAGCTTATTTTCGGGCTCCAATCAAAATAGATCATGTCATTTGTACACAGCTTGTGTACAACCCTGTATGGTGTGTGTGTATAATACACAGACTGTGTATAGGTGACGTGATCTTTTCTGTTGGAGCTCGGACATCGTATGGACTTTGCACTTAATAACTTCTCCTCTTCTTATTAAAGGCAACTGACGACTCCATATGCTTCTTTGATATTTATAATTTAAATTATATGAACAAATACATTTACAATAAAATATTTGTATTATTATTATATGATATCTATTCACATAATAATTATTTAGCTTTTTAAACCATTATTACATTTTTAGGA